TTTTTATCTTGTTTTAAGTCCAACTTGGACCATTTTGTACAAAATTCTGGCTTCCCCAGACAATGGTGAAGCCAGAATACTGTTACAAAATCCGATATCTAATCTACTTACATTATATTTATTGCAAAAATTTACTCTTTTGGCTTCGATACGAACACACTCCACCAAAATGTGCATTACATCTTCTATTTGGCCAATATGGGCTAATATGGGCAGGACCGATATCGTTACAGCTCTAAGGCTGCGATCGGGACACATACCAATGAACAGCTTCGCATTTTTGATGGGAAAAGTCGAATCCCCTAACTGTCTAGAATTCGGTAAAGTTATTTTCCTCCGTATATGTGATTTTACATCCGTGCTATATAAAATCTCAGATTATAGAACAACAGGATAAAAAAGTTTGGAAAACCCAAAAGCGCATTCTTTTTGAACGTTTCATTTAATTTTGATGAAAAAAAAATAAAAATAGTGACGATAAGATCAACGAGAAAAAAAAACAGAGAATCTTATGAACTTTCATTTAAAACTTTTAAACGCTGTTGAGTTGAATAACAAAATTCAAAAGTGATCCTCCTTAGAATAAATGGAATCTAATTTAATACTTTATATCTGAATCTATTGCTTACATTTCTATTAAGCGAGAAGACTCACCGATGCACAGAATAACGGACGGCAGTCCATATATTTTTTCAATTACATTTATTGTTATGTAATCTAAAGTGAATTAATTAGAAAATAAACTAAGAAGCAATTTTAGGAATTAAGCCCTGTACCTTTTTACTGTACTTTATATCAACAGTTTTTTTTTTTGCCATTTGAGTAGACTATATATTATAACAATCTCCGTGTCATGTTAATAGTTACAAAAAACACATCCCCATTCATACGAAAACATCATACAAAAAATACAGTACAGAATTGTAAACATCCTCTTTTTGAAATTACCTAAAAAGTAGCATCTCTTGGTGAACTTTTTAGTGAATGCTTCACTTTTTCTAACAGTGGTAGAGCCACGCGGCAGCTTTTTCTGTCGCACGGATGGGCCGGCTCGAACCGGGGTGGTACCCCGACCTCACAGAAAACCAGCGTGAAGTAGAGGTTTACCTCTGTGTTTCGCTTGGTGAGTGCAGGTGGCCGGAGGCCCTTTTTACTGGAACTGAGGCATTCCATCTTAGTCCTCACGGGTGACAACGCATCTACATATTGATTTGTAATAGAGGATAGATGTAGATGTCTATGGGCCACAGCAACCACTTACCATCAGGTGGACTGTGTGCTCATTTGTCACCCTTATCCTATATAAAAAAACTTTATTCAGCCATTGAAGCTATATTTTGTGATAGTTTTCAATACATTTATGTATGCGATTGAAAAGGAAATTCAGTTTAACTGTTAACACTTGTGTGAGTAAGTGGTTCAGAGTACTCTCTATAACCTCTGATATGGATCACCAGTCAGTCTGCATGCGGTATCAATTATACGTGGAAAGTGGAAAACCGGCGCGACACAGTCAATAATATCAGAGCGATTGATTTCGCGTAGGTGTTAAGTCGACGTTTCTTAATGAACGTCTCAATCACGTGTGAACGTATAATTTGATATTAATAAGCAAGTATTATAGCTTGTTGCTGAATAAAATGTATGATTGACTTATTACAGGTTCACTAAGATAAATTAAAGATCTTATTTAAATGTTATTTAAATTATCTTCATCATCACAAAATTAAAAGTTGAAAAAGAATTGGAGATTTTTTTTAACTTTATAATATTATACATTTATAAGAAAAATCGAAATGCAGATGACACGTTCGAAAAGTAAAAAAATAGTCTTTTCTTTAATATATTAAAAGGGTGACTAACGACCACACAGTCCACCCGATGGTAAGTGGATGCTGTGGCCTGTAGACATGTCTGTCTACATTCTATCTTCGATTAAGAATCAATATGCAGATGCGTTGCCACTCTGGACTAAGATGGAATGCCTCATTTCCAGTAAAAAATGTCTGCGGTTCTCTACACTCACCCTACGAAACACAGCAGCAATGAAATGCTATTTTACGCTGGTACTCTGTGAGAGCGTGGTCCTTCCCCAGTCAATCCAACCCATTCGTGGTACAACCATGCTGTAGTATAGCTCTACCACGTAAAATTTATAATTCTATAATTTAAAAAAAGGTTTGATTTTAGCTGTCATTTTTACAGCGTGTTTATTGTTTCTCCGGGGGTTAATAATTTAATAATACTGAAATAAATCTGATCTACTCACTGAACACGCTTTACCAACAAGTAATTTCGGTACATTACTTAATGGGGAAAGTTTGCGCATCGCAGTAGGAATCCTACTAGGAGTGGCGATTTTTCAACCCCATGAGTGCCCCTGTGGTAGCAGCGTCTACGTGTTTGTGCTCCACGGACTTTTATCTATGAAAAGTGCTGATAGGTTTACACGGCACGGTACGGACCATACCAGTTACTCGACTCCAAAGAGTCAATTATTTCTTCATGCAATGTAAGCGGCAAAGCCTTAGAAAATATGCAGGGACCTATTTAAAAGTTTAAAAATCATATCATGCAAAATTTATTAAATAAATGTTATCATACTGATTTATTTTTTGATTTATAAGAACCCCTTACAAATGCGGTGATCGCTACCATGCTGTTTCTAAATATTTTCACACTTAATTGAATAAAATATTAAATTGTAAATTTAAAAAAAAACCCGCTAGTTTTCTTGCTTGTTCTGCCCAGGACAGAGATTTATACCGAACCAGTTGTAAAAGCACAAATGACTTTCAATAAGTTTTCGTATAATGTTCATTGAATTAAAATTATTCTATTCTATTCTATATTATCCCGTAAAAAGCCCAATTCTGGTCATATGATTTTCTAATCATATGGTCATATGAATACATGGTTGATAATAACCCCTGGGAATGAGGTGATCGCTTCCAAGCGGTTTCTAAAATAAATTTTGTAAATAGTTCGTAATCATTTATATTGTAAAATTTATTTAAAAAAAAGTCCCGCTGGGTTTCTTGCTGGTTCTTCCCAGGACAGAGGGTTTTTTCGAACCAGTGGTAAAGTAAAATATGACTTTCAATAAGAATTACACATGTAATGTATATTGAATAAAAAATATTCTATTCTATTCTATTCTATTCTAATCGAAGTTTAAATAGTTATAAGTATTTTTTATTACTTCTAATGTGTTTTATGTTAAACAACTTGACCTAAACCTACGTTAAGGTTATGTTACAACGTGTTATGATTTTTTCTTAGCTTAAGTTCAGTTCTCTTAACTGTCAAGGTTATATATTAGATTTTTTTTTCATTAAAGTCCTACAAAATTTTATTACTAAGTATTGACCTCCCCTATAGACTGACATACAAGGGGCAAATTTATTATGGATGTTACTATTGACAGCAAATGCAGTTTTTTATTATTAAGTTGTAATTGAAAGGATTACTATATATATCTCTTAATACAGTTTCTCTCTGTCGCCTCTTACGACACCTACGGGGTGATATGCAGTGGATTAGTGGCAAGTAGGTTATCCTACGCTATAACCACAGATTAAACAATATTCACACTTTATTACTTTGAGATAAGGTCAATATTTGTTGTGTCACATTAATATCCTTTTTAAAGTAGACATGTGTCCTGAATGGATAGTTCATTTGACCCGGGTCGCATCAAAGTATTGATGATTGCAATTACATTTTTTGAACGTACCGGATCAAAAGATTTACAAGATCTACGACCAAAGAGTATAGTATTGTCCGACGACCGACATTATCGAGCGGGTCTCACAGATCTGAGAGTACTAAAACATGAAATTATTACTTTGAAATATCGACCCAAATTACCCGGTTCATGAGACTAATGATCTGGTCAGAAATGATCATGTCTACTTTTTAAATAAGAAAGCACCACGCTTCTGATAGGCGATTTCGTGAGCGCAGAGCCAAGTCTATGTATCTATGGGCAACAGCATCCACTTTTTTTATAGGATAGGGTGACAAATGAGCACACAGTCCACCTAATGGTAAGTAGTTGCTGTGACACATAGACATCTAAATCTATCCTCAATAAATAATCAAAATGCAGATGCGTTGTCATCCGTGAGGACTAAGATGGAATGCTTCTTTTCCAGTAAAAAGGATCTCCGGTTTTAACACTCACCATACGAAACACAGCAGTGTTAAGCTGTATTTCAACGCCGTGCCTCGGGAAGCACGTAAAGTTGGTTCCACGTCTGATCTCTCTCTGGTCGTTTTGGATTTACCTTTCATCGAATAATAGGAGTTAGGGAATATAGAGTGCACTTGTGTTTGCGCATACACTCGAACACTATAGTCCTATCCTTCGCAGATGTGTAGTCTCCATTGAGACTTGCCGATGTGATCGAAATTCGGTTTGGAGCACATTATTATTACTAATTATGACGATGATGATATGAGTATCTAATTGCCATAGTATCAATACGCCAGAGGGCTGCTTATTGTTTACACATAAATATAAATTAATATCTAAACTAGAATTTTATCCATGGATAATATTTCAGGCAGGCGTAGTATCACAGATGCTACGATGGGTTTTGAGATTCAGGTTCTCCAAAACCCATACGGGAGAATACTCCCTTGCCCGAAAGTCTATTTTTATCTATCTATTATAGCCTATAAAGGTCCATTGCTGAGTATAGGCCTCCCCCATAGATTGTCTCATAGGGGAGATTTCGCAATAGTTGCCACGCTTGGCGAACGGTTTGTCCACCGCAGTTTTTTTATTCAGCTGTAAATCAGGAAGATGCTGCTGCCCATCTTCTATTTTTGTTTACGTCTATCAATTTTTACGACACACACGGAACGATATGGGGTAGTGGGTATTCTTACACCGCCAATACACGGTTAGAAAAACGTGTAATAAATGAGATGCGTCTAGTCCTGTGGCCAGCATATATATACTGTCACTTAACTTTACTTTTATATTATTACAGAAAAGAACGGAAGAATCAGTTAAACGCGGATTGAGCAACAAATGCGTGGCGAGACAAACCTCCTCGTGTCTCGCGATCGAACTAGTGGGATATATGGACAAAATTCTTAAGACTGCTTCGTTCCAACTTACAGGTGACATGATGATCGTTGATGAGAGGTAGGTCACATTTTAATGTAAATATATGACGATTTTTAAACTGCTTACGGAATTGGGAAGCTATATAAAGTATAAAAGGTCGGTATTCATTAAATTAAACTAATTTTACGGATTTTGTCGCGGTTCATTTTAACTTTTTAACTCTCAACGTCACGGGTGCTTTACAGCGCTCGTGTTCATGGGGGACTGACTAACTATCCGCGAAATTAGTTTCATTTAATGTGTAGTATTTGCGTAAATATAAAAAATCCTTTCAAGAGGATTGCCATTTATTTTTGGAAGATTTTTTTATAGTATAGGTTGACAAGCGAGCACACAGTCCATCTGATGGTAAGTGGATGCTGTGGCCCATAGACATCTACGTCTGTCTTCGATTAAGTATCAAAATGCAAATGCGTTGTCACCGCTAAAGGGTAAGATGGAAAGCCTCGTTTCCAGTTAAAGGGCTGTCCAGTTCTCTGCGCTTATCGTTCGAAACACAGCAGCATTAAGCAGCTTTGTCGTGCTAATATTCTGTGAGAGCGGGGACCTTCCCCGTCGAAGCGATATATTAAGCTACAAACATAACATAGCCGCAGCATGGCTCTACCACCTATAAATTCGTCACATTTAGATATCTATGGGCCACAGCATCCACCAACACCATCAGATGGAAGGTAAAATCGTTTATCACCCGTAATTACTTGTATAAAAAATTACTTATGATAAAAATTAAAAACCGACCTCGAACAACTACAAAGAATCAAATAATTTCACATTCCTTATTTTTATTTTTTTGATTATTTTCCTTTGTTATGGTTTAAAATTATGACGTAGTGACGAGCAAAGGAGGCTAAGTATATATACATATATACAACCACGTTAAGATATACGACATCACACAATATATTTGTCTATTGAAAAAGGTTCCGTGGCGCAGTGGCTTAGCAATGAGTTACTGCGCTGCGGGACGCGGGTTCGAATCCCGCACGGAACAAGTATTTGTATGGCCTACAAATGATTGTTCCGGGTCTGGATGTTTTACCTTGTGAAATTTGTGTTTGTAAACTGCCTCCACGATACAGGAGAAAATCCTAGTGTGGGGATAACGTTTTTTAAAAAACAATAAAAACAAAACAATTGTAAGGATATTCTCGAATCGCATAATAAAACATTAAGACTTTTTTACTGAAATGGGTAATTCTTTACCAAACGAAAGCTGTACAAATATCAATCATGAATTTTAGACGATAATTACGAAACACAGGATAAAAAAAAATGTTGTTGGCCAGTTATTCCACTCTTTTGTGGTACGCGTGACGTACAAAGAAGCAAACCAACATTTGACTCGAATGTGTGGTATGTCGAAAACAAAAGGATAGAGACTGGCAGAGCATCTGTTTCTCTACAAGTGCAAGAAAGAGGGCGGAATTAAGTCGTACAATTTATTGTTTTAGCAATGGAACCGCTGCCCAAATGCCAGTACAATCTGAATCCCTTGCAAGGGCTGGAACTTCACTTGAAGATCAAGCACAACAAATTATAATGGACAAACTCTGGAATTTCGCTACCACACGATCGCTGAGATACCGAATTATTAACAATGCAGACGTTGTTATATCTGGAAAGGAAGAAAGAGACGGCAGTTTTGGCGTAGGTGAGTAATATAACTGAATATTGAAAATTATTAGATCATAGCCCGACCATCGAATCATAAGTTATAACGAACTAACCGGCGCAAATATGAGTATCTGAGAGATAACTACACATTTGTGATATTTGCTGTAGCGACTATCGATCCACGGGGTCCACGTGCGGTGAAGTTCCTAAAGGAACTGTATCCGCGACTGGTCGTGATAAGAAGGCTGGTTCTTTTCTCGCTCAAATGCTTAGTATAGTCATTCGACGAGGAAATACATTCTTGACATGATACCACGGGGAATATAATAATTTAACGGCTCACGGCACGACTCCGTGGCGCAGTAGCTTAGCAATGAGTTGCTGCGTTAAGGGCCGCGGCGCGGGTTGGAATCCCGCGCGGAACAAGTATTTGTATGGCCTACAAATAATTGTTCCGGGTCTGGATGTTTGTCCTTGTGAAAATTATGTATGTAAACTGCCCCCACTGGGTAACGTTTTTTAAAAAGAAATTCAATTAAAAATTAGAGAAATTCAATAGATGTTTTCATATAATATTTTTTTTATATTACATTTATAGATTCCAATGAGTAAATAAATTGAATTGTTATAGAACCACACTGCTGCGCTTCCGATAATAGCTAAAGCTCGAGTGGGTCTCGTATGAATGACTTACCGAAACAGCACAAATGCTGTTTTTGTCAGTTGGTATTCGTACGAGCGTGATGCTTCGTGGTAGATGGGTCGCATTCGTACTGCGGCCATAATAAATTAAAAGCATTTTTTATAGCATAAGGGTGACAAACGAGCACACAGTCCACTTGATGGTAAGTGGATGTTTTGGCCCATAGACTAAATTTATCCTCGATTAAGAATCAAAATGCAGGTCCGTTGTCACCCCAGAGGACTACGATAGAATGCCTCGTTTCCAGTAAAAAGTGTCTACGGTTCTCAACTCTCTGCTGTACTGTAGATTATGGATTAGCTTGCTCTGCCGCTTAATTGTTTATTTATGTTACAGTTTATTGTATACAAAGGATAACAAAAGGCTGACGACTCAAGGCTTTTTACGGATTAGAACCATCGTGTTGAACATTGTAGATCATTTACACATAATTTTCTTTGTTACGTAAATAAATATTATTATTTAACTTTATTCAAAACAAAATATCTTGAATATCATTACTAAGTTAGGATGAATAAAAGTTAAAGTTATAGCCTATATACGTCGCACTGCTGGGCACAGGCCTCCCCTCATTTCTGAGAGGGTTTTAGGGCAAGAAAATGTCCGCCGCGCTGCCCCATGTTGGTGAATTTCCCATGTCTTCGAATTTTTTTTTCTTATTTCTCAGACATGCAGGTTTCCTCACGTTGTTTTCCTTTACCGATGTGCACGTGGTAAAAACATTAGGATGAATATAGCAAGAAAAAAGGATGAATATAGCAAGAAAAATAATAATTTTGTGAATATAATAACTTGTTTTTAAGCGGTATCACTATTATAGAGGTCTGGTTATACAGATAAGGTCTAAAGATTATTAAATCTTAAAATGACGGTTAAATTTGTGATGAGTGAGGGACCAGATATTATATAATGTACTAGAGTATTTACGAGTGGCTGTTTTAACATTTAAGAGATAAAAGCGATAATGACCGTGGATTTTGGCCATTAAGAGAACGTCTTACCGCAATAACGTCTTTCAAACGTATTATAGTTAGCAATGGATACTCTACGTTTTGCATTTTAGAGACTATTATCTATCTTTATTAGGTTGTTGGGAATAATTTAATTTAAAAGAATAAATTTATCTTTAACAAACAACTTAAAAGCCTGAAGTTTCGATATCTTTTTTACTCTTACATGTAATTTTTTTTGCCATGTTTTATTAACTCTCTTTCGTAACGTTTGTTCGGGTCGAATATAGAAATTGATTTTTCTAATTTAGTTTTTCTTTATTACAGTTTTTTTTAATATTGTATGTAACCTTTAAGTTAGAATTAATTTTATACAATGTTTCAACAACTTCAAAAAAATTTAGTACTTTATTATTTATATATCAATTTTAATCTAACTTCCCATGAGTTAGAGACTGGAAATTTTGAACATAGCTAAGAATCGAATGGCAACGTATATGAAAACAAAACGTGATATATTATGTACGTGGCAGAGCCATGCTACAGCTATATTGTGGTTGCAGCACGAATGAGTTGGGCTCAACCGTGCAAGGACCACGCTCTCAGAGAATGCCAGCGTAAAAAACAGCTTAATGCTACTGTGTAGTAATATGGTGCGTGTAGAGAACTGGCGACCCTTTTTACTGAAAACGATCTTAGTCCTCAGGGGTGTCACCGCATCTGAATTTTCAGTCTTTATTGAGGATAGATGTGTATGTCTATGGGCCACAGGATGCACTTGTACTCTCAGGTGGACTGTGCGCTCATTTGTCACCTTAATGTATAAAAAAATCTGGCTTAAAATTATACGATATGCCGCCAGTTATCGGGAGTAGCTTTTTACTGTCACTGGATAAAATAGGATGATGCAAATCCTTCCTAAATTAGGAGACTCATGTCTTGCAATGCATTTTGGAATTCTCTGTAGGGAGGCCTATGTTCGGCAGTAATTTTGTAAAGGGCTGTAATGATGATGATGATGAACGGTGTAAAAGAAAATGGTTCAATGTTATATAAATGAATAAAAAATATTTTTGATTTATTTTTATATTAAAACTACAGACATTCGAATTCAAAGACATTTTGAGTCGTAAATCATTTCTAATTAAACTACTAGTCAAACAACGTAATCTAATAAAAGATAAGCCTCTCAGATTAAAAGCATGCTGCTTTAGTACAGACAACCATTAATTATGAGCCTTCATAATTTGAGCTCGCAGAGCTCTAATATTTAACTATAATTAGTATTAAATTTAAAAAAAAAACTGTGTAATGGCGGTGTAATAATATCCACTACGTCATTTCGTCCCGAGGGTGTCTTAAGAGGCGGCAAAGGGAAAATGAAAACCAAACCCGTACCGTCCGATAAAGAACTTCGTTCCAAAATTATTCTAAAGTGACCGTGTAAGAATAGGCGACAGAGGGAATAATAATTGAAACAGGACATAGGCAGCAGCATTATCCTGATAACAACTCTAAATAATAAAAAACTGCGGTGGCAACACGCCACGCATTTTACCATAGTTGCCACACTTGGTAAAATCCTCCTATGAGGCAATCTTTGAAGGAGGCCTATATTCTGCAGTGGACTTGTGTAGGTTGTAGTGGATATGATAAACTATAATTAATATTTTACACATATATAATCTGCGCGAGGTGGCTAGGAGCAACTAGATTAGTCAGAATCAGACTAAGTGGCGTGTCTTGGGGAAGAAAAGCAATATTTTTAGTTATAGTCTAAGATCGGGTCTAAAAAATACCCCCTCATACTTTTCCTTAATGAAATATTTTTTTTATAATAAAATATATAAATAAATACAAATCGCGGTGATTGACAGCCTATGTTTAAGCAAGGCTATTTTTAATTAAAAACTATTTAACTAATTTTTTTGCCGCTTACGGTCAATCTTTTCCTTGATAAAATTGGTCTCAATTGAAAAAAAAGAATGAATATATAGAAAATGCCACAGCACGGTTGACTAACTTTTCCATGCAACAATACCTATCTACCAGGTGTAAACAGGTAAAATCATATAGCAAATTATATTAATTCGTTTTCCAAAAAAAAAAAATGTAAATATAGATATATTTTATTGTGAATTTAATGGTATGTGGTCACATCAGTAACGAAACCGTATAGAGGCAAAGCTTCTATGGAGCTGTCAATATTTTTACCTATTGTGGTAGGGTTGGCACAGGAGGATAAAATTAAATAGCAAAACGTTTATCAGCATTTATTATGTACTTAAGATACAATATTAAAAAAAATACTTTTTCTAAATATTTTAATTTTATAATTTTTGTTCTCAACAATTTGTTGTGCATATTAATTTAATGTTAAATTATAATCTAATGTAAAGTTTTTTTTATAATTTATTAAAAAAAACACTCGCATAGCATAAGAAATATACAATATGACACGCGTTTTATAATATTTCAATACAAATATTTACAATATTTCTTTCGAGATCAAAATATTCGCGAAATTTTTGTTCAAGCGATTCCTACATTCCTTTCAGATATATTTTCACATTGGATGGAACTCGAATAAGAATCGTCGTTTGTTGACAACCGTTTGAAAAGCATTTCCAAATAAATATTTTACAGTTATTTTCTTAGAAAACTTAATACAGGATTTTTCAAATTGATCCTCACAGATTATACTATGTTGATGCCTCTTTTATAATTAAAAAGGTATAAAAGGAGATTTTCTCGTCCGACAGATTTTTACCACTCTTGTCATCTGAAATTATAATTAAAAACATGAACATATACACAAACACGTCTGTCACCCAGAGGGGTAGGCAGAGACTACGGCCTTCCATTTCACGCGATCCTGACATATTTCTTTCGCCTCCTTTACATCCATATATCTACGCATACAGGCTCGTTGGTTAAGGATACTCCTATCTGGTCCGTTTTCAATGTATCGCCGATTTGGTCGATAAAACTTCCTCTAGGGCGTCCGTTCCCGACTCTGACGTTCACTTCTGCCACATAAATTTGCTTTGTCACTCTTTCCTCGTTCATTCTTTCTACATGATCAAACCACCGAAGCATTCCTTCCTTAATCCTGGTCACAACGTCATCTTGCAAACCACACTTTTCTCTTATCACACTATTTCTCACCCTGTCATTTAGATTCAGCCCTAGCATACTCCTTAATGACAGAATTTATTCTACTCTCATGCTTCTGCTGCCAGACCCAACTTTCACTACCATATATTAAAGTAGGGAATAACACAGCATTATGATTTGCCATACGTGCCTTATTTGACACATTCTGATTCTTCATAATAGCTTGTAGAGCCCCGTTCACTCTATTTCCTTCGTTCACTCGTCGTT